AAACATACAAGAGAGATGCCAGGTAGGAATTGCAGCGGACACTAATAAAGAAAAAGGAATAACATTACACCAATTAATGTGTAACAGAATGAGATGCTAACAAGACTAGAGCGGTTGTAGGGAATATTGGAAACATACAAGAGAGATGCCAGGTAGGAATTGCAGCGGACACTAACAAAGAAAAAGGAATAACATTACACCAATTGATGTGTAACAGAAAGAGATGCAGACAAGCAGAATTTAAGCATGTTGCCAGCATCGGACAGAGTTCAACATTCTCAGGAATTTAGGAAAGCAAAGACACTTGTTTAAAGATATAATTTCAACAAAGCAGTTATAAAGCCAACCCTGGACTTTTGCGTACGTAAGCATTCTCTAACCGCTGTACCGCTTACTATTATTCGGTTATCTCTTTTCACTTTGTCTGTACTCCTCATGAAGCATTTCCTAACTTAACAAGGACGTTTTCAAAACGCACCAAATGACTAGAGTTCCAAGTGGAAACAAGAATTCCAAAATTTTAATCAGGTAGATAACAATTGTGGGAAGCAATTTGTCTATAATTATTAATAAGCCTCACCCTTTATCTCGGGAGGCAATTTACGTCTATAGCATAACACACTGTAGAACGAGCTAATTCTTGAATAGATGTTCAAGATAAAATTATACGATTAGAAATGGATTTCAAACGGGTTAACAGGGTCGTAGATGTTCTACATTTTTCAGGTAGAAACCGCGAAAGCTCATTCGTCTATTAGCCGTGTGCATAAGCATAATGGCTTATAAATAATCAATATTAGCAATACCAACGAACATACATATATGTATTTTATGCACATAATACATAATGACGAATTGCGGGTGGATTCTTAAAATGCAACGATTCTTGAAATAAAACAATCGCCGTCACGTTTTATATAACCCTGATCGATCAATATCGGAATTTACATTAAATAGACAATTCAGACACCTAAATTATCCGCCATACACACAAACACCCACGCCGATTAAACTATTTTAATTTTATTAAAAAATTCTGCATTACTTATACATATCGCTGATTGCAAAATAGAGTCGGACCGAATGTCGTCACGTCTGCCTTGCAAATTAAATGCACTCTTACATCTTGACCTAACAGATATCATCGTGTCAACATATTTTAACCAATTCATCGTTCAAATCGAATCCTTTTTTTATTAAAATACAACCAATTGATGTAGATTTATACAAAATACACCGGGTGTTATTGCTACTATGAAAAGATTATTAACAAAATTGCATCGGGGCATGAGGGTGTCATCATCAGCTAGAATACATGGTCGGAACGCAAGATTCCAAGATCCCAGAGTCGTCAGACATTACTTATTTTTTGAGTAACAAAAAATCGTAACTACAATTGTACAGAGGAGGATGGAAGAACTATTAGGGGAAGATCAATTTGGGTTTAGAAGAAAGAGAGGAATGCGGGAGACCGTTCCAGCTTTACGGGTAACAATAGAGAAAACGATAGAAAAAGGAAAGAGTGCGTACATAGGATTTGTAGATTTAGAAGAAGCTTTTGACAATGTTAAATGGGACAAGATGTTAAATATACTTAAAATGTAGGGATGAGTTACAAAGATAGAAGAATGATACTTAGTTTGTATAAAGAGCAACAGGCAGTTATAGAGCTGGAGCTGCAACGTAGAGAAGTAAATATTAGGAAGGGAGTCAGGCAGGGATGCACACTGTCACCGCTACTTTTTAATCTATACATCGAAGACGAGATCAACATCATTAGATACAGAACAACTGTGGGGATAGATATACAGGGGTAGAAGATTAGTATGCTTAGATTTGCAGATGATAGTGATACTTAGTTTGTATAAAAAGCAACAGCAATGCCTGGCAGCTCTGGGTTCTTGCTCTATAAGTAAATTACACTACCAAAAAATTCACACTTTTTAATGCATCTGCATTTTTAAATGAATTTGAAAAGGCCCCATAAAATGACTATAATAAAATTGAATGAAATTTCAATTGTTTTCCTAACAGGTGATACAAAAGCGTATGAATCATAAAACATCTTTGAGTAGGTACCTATATAGCTTAATCAGAAGGTACTGTGTTTCAAAAAACGTGCATAAGAATAAACGTTATTTAGTTGTTACTATTATAAACAAGTAGTTAAAAGTTTAAGATTAAAATTTATCAAAAACAATACCTTCCCACTATAAAATTTTAAAAATTTCCAGTAAATCAAAAAACCGTCAACTAAACGTTAAAATTTGCATTGTAAAAAAAAAAGGAAAAACAGCACATTAAAAATATATTTTTTTTGTAACATCGTCCATACTTAATAAAAGTACCTATCTTTCGTATATAAGACATTAAATGTATAAATGATAAAGATTTGCGACTGGTAATTAAGTTAACAATTTGCAATCTGTTGTGAATTTGTTAATAAATTGCAGAATAATAAAATCGAACAAGTTCACGAGGTGAAGACATGATGCCAGAGGTTTTTGTTCGAATAATTATATAAATATATATAAAAGAAGTTT